CTAGCATTACTGGGGTATTCCTCGGAAGTTGCTAAGATGTGTGAAAATAAAGATTGATCGTTGAAAAGGAAATGTTCATTCAAAACTACACAATGCCTTCATTTCCTGGGTTTTTAGAAAAGATTGGTCTGAGTACAGCCTACAGAAAAACAGCTTGAAAATTGAAGAAAGCTCCCAATCAGAGCTCTGCTCTTTGATGGTGGATTTTCCCCAGACCCGTATGAAACAGACAGTAACCGATTAGAATCGTGTAATCAGACCCTTTCGACCAGCGTCTCTCGCTGAATGAGGGCCCATGGGGCACCTAGCACCTCTTTCCAATCTCAAGGCAGAGTGGGCAGCGAAAGTGAAGGAGCATTCCTGTGCACAAAGTAGGACATCCAGCATTGCAATGGGTATGCCACAAAAACATCTTGAACCCTGTAACATTTTCTCAAAGGCATAAGGCACTTCAATTTTTTACTTGCTCTAAAATAGTGGCAGGGGTGCTGTAGTGAGTAAATGACGAACAAACGGTGTTGAGCGGCCAAAAACCTGAAAAAAACCTTTGCTCTGCACGGCATTAATCAAGGTTTCTTGCGAGTTTCTCCGGTATCATTGCGCCAACAACCGCCTTGATAGAAACGATTGCACGCATACTCTAGTTCGCTGCGGACGGTTGGGCGTGTCAGGCAAGGCAGAGAAGGGCTTTGACGGCGTGTGTGTCACGCCGTCAAAGCCCTTCACTGCCTTCTTCTTGAAGCGCGCATGCGACAAGAAATGGTAGAAAACGGTAGTATACGATCGATATGATAAGAGATATAGTATCATTTAGCTCGCTCTAATCAAACTGCTGTGGGAACGGATTTGATTGCGGCGGCCAGACTCTACCCGCTCTTTGGACGCGGGTCCCAACCGTCGCGCCACGCAACCATATATATTTTATTAGATTCCATTGTAGTAAGCTGTCTTTATATCATTGCATCCATAAATGAAGCGATATAGAGTACCAGCGTTGACTGTAAACAGATCGGCGTTTGTGGGGCGGGCGGGGCATGTGTGTGGCGGTTCGGTTCGGCATGTTGCGTCTGTGGGGTAGGCCGAGTGCCCTTTCGTTTGAAATACCGCCACACAGCGCCTGCTAAAAGAACGAATAATTTCTATCGTCTCGGGACGAACACCTTATGGACCCTATGCAGTTTGTCGATTCATTGTGCCACTTGATTTTAATCAACAACTGAAGTGATAGGAAGCTTCCATGGGTTTATAATAATTCGCAGAGCAGCACAAGCTACTGGGCTGACTCCAGTGGTGTGATGTGTTGATGAGCAGAACGCAGAATGATAAAAGCTTCAGTTAAGCTGAGCTATAACCAGCGTAGGCTGCTTTCGGAAGTTCCAAACTAGAAGCTCTGCTTTGATTGGCTTCAAAACACTGGTTGTATAGACAGTAATGTGCGATTTTTAAGGTCTTGTACTCGAACATATCCTAAAGAATCGCTTTATCTAATCGCTGTGGGCAACTTTATGCTTTGACGATCCTTCTCGACAATCCGAATAGACGGCGAGCAACAAGCTTTTGGTATCCTCCACTCGAAGGCGCTCTGAACACCAATTAGATTAAATATAGTCTCAAGCGGAAGAGAGCGAAAGAGCTACAAAACAAACCCGTTGTCGGCCGTTGAACTAGTGTCTGAGTGTACAGCAGATGCAGCAGAAGCAGCAGAAGAACCTCTTGCTGGACATGGGCAATATTCGGCGTCGCTTCCCACCTCTCCTGGTCCACCTGGTGGTCCAGGCTGACCATTGGTACCAGGAGTTCCAGGGTTTCCGGCTGGTCCAGTTGGTCCAGGACCTCCTGGTGTTCCGGGACCTGCTGGAGCTCCATCTTGTCCTGGTTGTCCGGGTGTTCCTGCTGGCCCAGGTGGTCCTGGTGGTCCAGGTCTTCCTGGGCTTCCAGATCGTCCTCCCATGCCAGGCTGTCCCGGGGATCCCGGTGTCCCGGGAGCTCCTGGAGCTCCACTGTCACCGGGTGGTCCAGGTGTGCCTGGTAAGCCGATGCCATATGCTGCACTACCGGGAGTTCCAGGGTTACCGCTAGGACCAGCAGGACCTGGAGGTCCATCTGCTCCTGGTGGCCCAGGCTCTCCAGGAGGGCAAGGGATGCATCCCGGTTTTTCGCCGCCGCCGTTTCCACGACCATTACCTCCCGGTTGACCAGGTTGCCCTGGCTCTCCGTCCTCACCAGGTGCTCCTGGCTCTCCTGGCGGTCCTGGGGGTCCAACAGGGCAGCTGTTACCCTCTGAATAGCTTGGTGGTTGGGCTGCTCCACGAGGGAATCTCTTATCTTCTCTTTCTCGACTAAGTTCTGCAGCGTTGGGCAACATCTTCTGCCACGTGGAGTCGGCGACGTCCTGAAAGGAGCTTGAGATTAACAAAATTTGGCATCAGCATTTTTTTGAGGGGTATTTACTGAGTTTTCACTTACCTTGAAATCGTTGAGGTTTTCCATGGATTCGTCGTAAAAATTGTTGAGATCGTTTACAATGTAAACGATGCCGGCAATGGAGCCGATCACAGCCAAAGCGGTGACGCCGGAGACGAGTGTGACCAGAGTGTGCGTTCCCATGCTGCGAACTGCGTGCCATCACCATTGTCAACGTCTGTTTTATAACGCTGATGAAGGCCGCTTCGCACTTGTAATCCTTTATCAATGATCCGTTCCCAGTTTTGCGCCAGTTTACATGGACCTAATCACAGGTTTATTTCGATTCTACGCGCATGTTACCTTATTCCCGTAGTTTATCAGTGGCATTCACCGCTGATCGTTTGATCATCATGACACAATTGGCCATGTGTCTCCAAGAACTTCCTTTTTCCGCCCAGCCAATGTCTTTCAGCTGCCCCGACTGGTATGACCTACATGTGGAGTCGCTCACTTGTTTTCAAAATGGCTTTTTGCAGTTCATTTCTCGATAGGCTGCTCCATAATGATAAGCGGATAGAGCCTGGAGCGATCGATTTTGAGTTTCGTAATAATTTTTAGTGGCTTAA